AGGTAGCTTCCTGCCTTTTTGGGAAGCTCCCAGGTGACCAAAATGCTGTTGGGGGGTGGATCCCCTCCCCTGCCAAGATCTCCCCCAACGCACCAAGAAAGCAGGAGGCAGGTGCATGCTGCAGGGTTTCCAAACCGCTCCATTTAATGTGCCATTAAAAAGGACATTTCCACCCAGTGGGCTGAGGCTGGATGCGCTCGTTCCTGTTCCCGCGACTGCTGCCTGTGACTGAGTTGCATTCTCCATTGTAGTAAAGCAGTGAAAAAATATTGCACTTTCGTTTGGTTTCTATGAATTTGACTACCATGCAAGGGGATTTGGCGGGGGTGGGGAGATGGAAGAGGGTGCTCTTTCAGGCTGGGGAGTGCCTGCCCGCCTGGCTTTCACCAGCCCTTCCTAGCTAAGGACAACCTTGCTCTCTTTCATGCCATGTCACGATTGTGTCTTATCCAGGGGGGCTCAAAGGTGCGCAGAGGCCCATCCTGCAGCACCAAGCTGCTGTCCCCACAGCAGGAACTTAGTGCTAACTTGGCTCAGGTCCCCGAGCGTCTCACCCCCGGGACAGATGGGGAAACGGGCACGAAGTAGTGACAGGACTTGCCCAGGGTCGGAGGCAGAGCTGGGAGCAGAGTGCTGTAACCCCAGACCCTGAAGCCCCCTTCTGCCAGCAGGCTGGGGACAAGCCAGCCACTCCTGGGGAGCCCGGCAAACAAGCAGCATCTATTTGTTTGGGGAGGAAAACCCCAGTCAGCGGTGACGGCAGCAAGGGTACAGGTCTCGGGGATCACAGGAGAGGCCGGGGGTGCGCTCAGGCTGCCGACAGCCTGGCCTTTTGGACCCCGCTGGAGTTCATGCCGCTCAGCCCCAGTGCCCGGTGGCAGGCGCGGGCACGGGGCTCAGTCGTGCCTCTTGCCTTCCCGGAGCTTGTGGTTGCTGTCCCTGCGGGGCAGGACCGGGCCCTGCTCCCATGGCTTCCTGCCCTTGTGCTCTCGCTGCTGCCTGGAGTCCCGCTTCCGCTCCTCGTTGCGCTTGTGCTCCTCGCGGCCCAGTGCCTCGAGCCGGGGGGCACGGCCCTTCCCCTCCTCCTTCCTGTGTCGCTCCCCCCGCCTGCCCTCCTTGCCCTCCCCACGCGCCCTCTTCCTGGGCCAAGGCTGCTCCTCCTCCTCCTCCTCCTCGTCCTCCTGGGGCTCCTTGGGCACTCTGCTGGCCTTGGCCTCTGGGGGCCTGGCCTTGCCCTGCATCTCCTTCTTGCTGCCTCGCTCCACCTGAGCCGCACGACTCTCTCTGGGCTTCTCTTCCTTCCTCTCTGGCTTCTCTCTCGGCTTCTCCCTCGGCTTCTCCTTGGCCTTCTTCGGCTCTGCCTTGGCCTGTGGTTCCTCTGGGGTTTCTTCAGCCTTGGCTTCCGGTTCTTCTGTTTCCTCTGGCTCTGACCGGCCGAGCCATCTCTTGAGGAACCAGGGCTCTGCCTGCGGGGGAAGCAGACATGGACGGGCCCCGGCTCTCACTGTGATCCTGGGTCAGCCCATGCTCCAGGGCCTCTCCCCTGGCTGCACATCCAGAGCTACAGCAATGCCACGCGTGCAGCAGGTCACAGCAGTGCCCTGCAGACCCCAAGGGGCCCTTGTCTCCCTCCTACCTGACGCAGAGGCTCTGCCCCGGGGCTCTTTGATAATGCACGTGTCTCTGACCCCGGCAGCCCGACAAGCTCCCAGTGGCAGACTTCATCCCTGCCGCACTAGGCCCTGGAGTCCCTTTGCAACTGCCCATCGCTTGCTGGGCGTGGGCCTGATTCTGCAAGCATCAGGAGCATCCTCCTGGCAGGCGTAAAGCATCCTCAGCTCCTCTGCCTCAGGGGTTCAGGCACCTTGTGGGATTGGAGCTCAGTGGTGCACCCACGTGGGTGCCCAAGGGCAAAGCAGCTCCCAAGCTGCAGCCCTGTCCCACGGGGCTATCGCCATGCAGACTTCCTGCAGCCCTGTCCCACGGGCATCACCATGCAGACTTCCATGAGTGACCTGGGTAAGGGCTCCAGGCCTGGTCCTGCCTGTGCTGAAACTCCCCTCCCATCAGGCCCTAGGGCTTGGTGTGCTCCATCTAGATGTTCTTAGCTAATTTTCTTGGGGTGGCTGGAGCTGAGACAACCCCAGGAGACGGGGCTGCCAGGGCCTCTGTGTCAGGCTCTAGCCCAGTGCACGTGGCAGACTAGCACAAACCACCCGCCTCGGTTCCCTGCTGCTACCCGCTGCCTCGTCTCAAGGGATGAGCCTCAGCGGCTCCCCCCCTTACCAGCTCGCTGGTGCCATCCTCAGGAATGCTGCTCTCGGGCTGGACCCACAGGCTGGGCGCTGCTTCGGGAACCTCGTCGTCCTCCTCCACAACGTCTGGGGAAGGGGAGGCAAAAAGTGAGCCAGGTCCTGGGAGACGAACGTTGGCAAAGGCTGGGGCACCCCTAGCTGCCTGCCCACCACACAGAGGCTTCCTAGTGAGCGGGGCATCAGACCAGCGCAGGCCACACCTTGATAGCACCCCTGCTGCTAGCTGAAGCAGAAGTGACAGTGGGAGGGAGCTGTGGCTGCCAGGAGATGGCACAGGCACTTTAGTAGGGGCGCTCTTCTCTCCTGCTCAGTGCTGGGCTGAGGGCCCTGCATGGGCTGGGGGTGCCCACGTGCCGCTGCAGCAAGCTCCTTCCAGCCCCCTGTGGTCACTGACAGTCCCAATCCAAACGGGCAGCTCTCTCGGGACTCCCGTCAGCAGGTTGCAATATGCTTTCCCAGCGGGCTGGCTTCACTGTCCCCATTTTCAGATGGGAACATTGAGGCACCACGAGGTGGGGACTTGCCCACAGTCAACCTCAGGCTCCCATTGAGGTGGAGCGAGCTCCTGCCCCTGCACTCCCTGGGCTGGTTGAACTTCAAGCCGAGTTTTGCTCCCTGCCCAGTCTGTGCCGCATCGCTGTGGGGTGCTCCACCCCAGACCTGACCGCATTGCTGCGGGGAGCGCACGGAGAACAGCCCGACGTGCACGCCTGAACCAGGGCTGCTTCAGGAACGAGGGGTTTCGAGCCAGATCTGAGCCCCTCCGCCTCCTAGAAATGCACAGAGGCCAGGCCTTATCCCCAGAGAAACCACGCGGCAGTGTGGCCCGGTGGGTAGTGCTGACTTGGGGCCAGGGGAACCTGCCTTTCTTTCCTGGCTGTTACTGAGTAGTTGTGTGCCCAGGCACAAGCCCCTGCTCCTATTTTCCCTGCTGCCCATCAGAGGTATTAACTCCGTGGGGCAGGGAGGTCTTCTACGAAATCAGGACAATCCAGCCTGATCTGGGACCTCTAAAGTGCCCACTGTCCAGGCAGCAGCACAGCCCGAGTGCGGGACACCCTGTGTGTGTGGCCGGGCTGGTCCCCACAGGCTTCCTTGCCCTGCCGGGAGACGTCTCTTACCTTGGAAGACCTGGAAGCCCATGCTTAGGAGAGCGATGAGGGAGGCGATGAGAATGCACTTGTTCAGGGTCAGCCCATCCCACAGCAGCTCCTCCTTGGCGGCGCCGACAGTTCGGGGTTCGGTCTTCCTTCTCACTGGAAGGGTCTTGGGGACTTTAGGCAAAACGGAAGTGGCGTTACGGTGAGGAAGCAAATGGGGGCTTGGAGCCCGCGGGGGGATGTGAGGTGCAGGACACGGCAGGGGAGCAGAGCTGGGTTGCAAGGGGGTGCTCACAGCGGGGTGGGACTAGGGATCCCTTGCCGTCATGTCTTCTGGCCCAATGACCAGCAGCAGTGATAGGCTCCCCCAGGACTCGTGCCTACCCTGCTGTTTGCCAGCGGGCAGGGAGCACCCACATCCTGGGGCTGGGGGATGAGGAGAGGGGAAAGACCCGCTCCTAGCTCCAGCTGGGGTGCAAGGGATTCACGTGTGAGGGGTGGGGGTGACTCCAGTTGGCCGGTGAGACAAGGAGGGCAGCTGGGGGCTGCTATATGTAAGAGCTATGTGCAAACTGCACGGTGGAGCAGGCTGCTTAAATAGAGTCGGGACTCCTGGGTTTCATGCCAGGCTCTGGCACTGGCACTGCAGGCAAGTCACGTGGGCCAATGCTTTCAAATATTAGGGCCTGAGTCTGGAAGGGAAATAAGCAGCCCGGTTCGCGCAGGGGCTCGGTGTCTGCAGCTCAGCGGTGTCGCACGGGGTTCTGGAGAGGAGAATTTCGCCCCTCCACCCCCCGCCAGGCTGGGCAGTTGCTCCTGGGCTGACCCAGGGGTAGGGTTTGTGCCGCTGTCCCTACCCAGGCAGGAGCCAGCGGGCTGCTGCTGAGCACCCCCTCAGCCCGAGTACCTGGGGGCACGGCCGAGCTGGCTTTCTCCGCCACCTTCTCTGTCCTCTTCGCCTTCTGCTCCACTTCGGCCGGTGGTGTTTCCGTCATGGTCTCTACAAACTCGTCCAGGTCCGTCTCAATAATGTGCAGCTTGTTCCCCTCCTCCCCTAGCTCCTGAAAGACGAAGGAATGAGGATGGGACTCCTGGGTGCATAAGCAGAGCGGCTAATGGGGAAAATAGGCCAGCCTGGAGCTATTCAATGCAGCCTGAGCATGTTACAGGTCCCCCTGTGCCTGGGCCGTGGCAGGGAGCCCTGCATGCTTGTACCCTGAGCTTCTCGTTCAATCCCTGGGGTGACAGCAAAGATGTTCACCGCGTGGCTGAAGGACACAAAACGTGAGCAGGGGGCGTGGGCCACGTATGCCCCTGAGGAAGGGTCTCAGGAATGCAGCGCGGGGCAGGTGTGCCTCAATGTTACGTGTCCAGCTGTGCTCAGGGGACGTCTATGCTGCGGGGGGCTACTACTGATGACTGATGGCTTACTGGGGATTCTCCCATGGCTCGAGTGCCGGACCCTGCGCCTGGAAGCACTTCCATCCCCACGCTGCCTATGGGCCATTTAGCTGCTGACTTCACTCGTCTGTGGGTTCACTTCGATGAGACCTACTGCGGAGATGCCAAGCTCTACGCTGTTGCCCTCGGTGCTCAGGGGAGCCAACAGGGTGCTCCAGTGGGCAGCACCGAGGAAGGAAACTCGAGGGTGGACAGAAATGTTCGAGACCCCTGATTCCCTGTCTGATCTCTACAGATTGCTTAGAGATTCACCGTGGAGCCGAGGCTGGTGGGGTCAGTTTTACCCGGCACGTGTGCAATGCGTTAAACCACCCCAGAGTTGTTCCACATCCTCACGCCACCTAAGATGCATCCTGCTTCACAGCAGAGACCTACAAACCAGTCTGGGCTCCCGGACAAACTGGTTGGGGTTGCACCAGAGGTCAGCTCGGTGGGGAAGGGGGTGACAGTCACGTTCGTGGTATTCCACTTGAATTAGGTTGCAATCCCAGGGATGTGGAGGAGAGCCAAACCTTTGTTCAAAGGCATCTGTCTGAGCACAAGTGCTCTGCAGAGCTGCTTAGCTGCAGCCAGTAATCCCCTCCTGTGCGTCTGCCTGGGGAACAACGGATCCCTTGGAGAGGGGGAGCTTAGAAACAGAGACGAAGCAGGCCCTTGGGTCTGGCCCGACCCTGGGCGCTCCAGCTGGGTCAGGATGCAGAGATGCAGTCTGACCGACTCCTTAATTAACATGTGGGATCAGAGCAGATGGGGAAAAACGGTCGATCATCACAGATCAGTGACAGCAACAGCTGAATGATGATACTGCTGGCTACAGCTCAGCCAGGGTGGGGCGTCACTCCCCTCGGGGCCCATGCCAAGGCCATGCTTCCAGCTAAATGTCACCCGTGGAATCACACTTTTGCTTTTGTTCCAGTTGTGAAGTGGAGGAAAACGTTTCTCACCTACACAAAGCCAATGCACCTGGCAGCCCCAGAGCCTGGACCTGAATGTGGCCACTGCCAGACACTGCAAAGAAAGGTGCAAACCCCTCCTGGTCCAGCTCTGTGAAATATTAGCCCCTGCAGTGAGGCTCATGCCTGACCTCAGCTGGGGATTAGCTTACACCCGTTCCAGGAGGGCTGATCTCCCTTCTGCATTTATCTTAGCTAGTGCATGGACAGGGGTTATTTCCATTCACGTGTCTAGGACTTTAGGAGTACCCTCGACAGCGATAGAGGATTCAATCCAATAGGCTGATAGGCCACAGGTGCAAAGTGTATAGATCTGAACTGCCTTAAGCTGGGGCTCATTACTGACATAGGAGCCGGCCGTGAGGTCTGGTGCTAGATTTGAGCTCCCCGGAGACTGGAAGTGTTCAGATCCTGGCACCGGTTTCTCTCCAGCATGATCCTTCCTTGGCCTCTCGCTCAGCCCTGAGGCTCTGCACGGGGCCGGGCTGCACAAGTGAGTTAGCGTATGAGGTTTAAACATCTGAAAGGGCGGTCTTCTAGGCAGGTTTTCTCCTGCGCTTGTGTCAGGGCCAGGGGCAGGCAGGAGGGCTGCCTGGCCTCTATTTTGTGCATGATTTTTAAGGCATCTGTCTCACTCTCCTCCCGCCCCTCTCTGCTTTCTACCCAAGCACTCTAATTTTATCATCCTGCTTTCATTAGTGCCCGTCATTGGCACCTCTCCCAGGCTAGAAATCCATGTGCCCGGCCTCAGCCCCCTTCTGCCTCAGTAACCTGGGACACCTGCTCCCCCCTCCCTAGCTTCTCCACCCCCTGGGCTGCCAGCAAGCTCTCCTTTGCAGACGAAGCCCCCGAGATGAGCAGAGTAGCTGGGCTCTGCCAGGCCTGCGGAGTGGCACGCTGCCCTGCTCAGCACGTCCGGCTCCCAGTCAGCTTGCTGGAAGCCCCCATTAGCATCCAGCAGGCACTTCTATGCTCCTCTGAGCCAAGCACATGCCCCATCAGTCTCCTCATTGCCTCCTTCCCCATTTCCGTGGGGAACTGCCGGGCCAGCCCTGTTCCTTAGGGCTGGATGATTTTAGCCAAGCAAAATGAATGCAAGGTCCTGCTGCTGAAAGCTTGGGAAAGGGGGATCAGCTCCACCCTGGACCCCCCCAGGATCCTATGACCCTCATACCAGATCTCTGCAGCTTCCTACCTAGCCTGGATGGCCCCGTTGCAAACATCCAGCATCACACAACCCAGGCCAGCATGCACAGAGCACCCTCCCGGAGGTACAGACTTTCTGGGAGTGCAGACGTGTGCTACTTACATGTGACGTACCATTTACCTCCTCGCTGCCCTGTGACACCTCTGTACCTGGGGGAGAGAAAATGCATCACGAATAAGCCATGAAGCAGGGACATCCCCGGGGGCTCAGACTATGAGACCATCACAGCAGCTAGCTGCTGGCGACAGAGAAGATGGAAACCACGCTGGTACTGCCAATAAATTCTCCTCTAGGTTCAGAGGTAGGATGTTTGCTTTAGTCTTTGTAGCAACCACAATGTCTGTTCCCCAAAGTGCAAGAATTTGGGAGGGGCCAAAAGGGAGTGGGGTGTTGAGCACGGAAGGCAATGCAGTTACTGGGCAGGGGAGAGGTTTTACTGGATGATCGTCTAAAAAGCAGTCGTCATGCAGCAGCGTCGCACGGGGCGTAAGGCTTCACAGGTAAGCAGGGGTCACAGGTAAGTCATGTGCATCACTGAATGTGCCACAGCACGCGCAGACCTCCTCATCCCAGTAGCAACCCGTTTCCCGGCAGTTGTAGGAACAGATCCTCGAAGGGCAAGTTGCAGGCTGCTGGGAGAGCTGTCCAAGGCTCCCCTGCCCGGCACCTGCCTGATACGCTCCCTCTAACACATGCATTTAGCTGCCGGTCAGGCACCCTGGCTGCCTTCTCTGCTTCTGGGATACATCGAACACAGGGTTGGCCTCAGGGGCGGCTTGGGGCAATCGCAGCCTCCGGAGCAATAAGTCACGAGGCTGGTCTTTCCGCACGTTCCCAGCAGACCCTGGTAATGTCTCAGGACCTAATTCTCTGACTTCATGGGTCTTGAGTGGCCGCTAGCATGAGAACTCCCCAGCTGGAGTCTCTCCACTCTAGAGACATGAAAAGACAGGAAAGGTCTCTGGGCGTAGGTCTGAGATTGCCTACAGTCGTCCTTGAAACGGCAACACAAGACACAGTTTGAGAAACCAAGCCAGGCCTTTAAAGCCTGATCTCTCACAAGTCAGGTGAGCTGGAGAATGGCTCCACACTACTGGAAACTTGCAGGTCGGGGCTTCCTGGTTGCTTCCAACCTCAGCGGGCTGCACAAATACGCACCGCTGGAGCCCCTCGTTCTGCTCGCCGCGCTCCTCCCACCTCGCAAGCTGCGCCCATGGTGAGATTTAGTGCCTGCGCGCTGGGATCCCCTGGCGTGAGCTCCACGGGCCCGAGTGCTAGACCCGCCGAGCCTTTACAGCTACGTTTGGAAGCAAAGAGAACTGCAGATGCTCAGCGTTTTGGAAAGTCAGGTCCTTTGATGGCTCTTGAGATGAGTCATGAGCGATGTCAAAAGGAGAACAAAGCAAGCTGGTAATGAGATTTCTGCAGCGGTTCAAGCCGGTGAGTGACGGTTCATTAGTGACCATGCTGGATCTTCTCCTTGCACTTCAGCTCTTGTATCCAACCTTATCCTATCTCCTTCGGTTTGTTGTGTCAAAACGTTCAATACCAGAAATATTACAAGAGTTACGATTGAATGGGGATTTAGTGTTTTCTTTAGTGTCCTATGTATCTTTTCCTGCCCTCAATAAGGATTAAAATCTGCTTTTCCCTGGTTTCTGGAGGTCTTAGATCTGCCAAGAGCCAGCCTTCTTGGAAGCTGTGCCACAAACGCTCTGCACGCTCTCTGAGTGCCACTCCAGTCCTTTTCCCTACCCTACCTGCTGCTCTGCTTTCTGTCCCCTGTCCTGTCTGCCACTGTGCTGCCTGTCCCCTCCCTGATCTGCCGTGTGCTACGTACAGAGGCAGTCTGTGCCACTTATGATGCCACAGGTTGCCCTAAAGGACCCAGCAACATAGACAGGGAGTGCTCGCTGCCCTATTACAGGGGCAAGCGGGAGGAACCTTTAACACAAAGAGCTTTTCTCCCAGCTTGCATAAACTTGCAAACCTCTCAGTCCATCTCATGTCTCTACCTGGCTAAACAGGCTTTAAACCTACTAGCTCCCCAGCCGCTGGGAAAGGAGAAGCAGTGCATGAAGCCTGAATGTCTAACACAAGGAAACAGGAAAAAATGGTGTTAAGATCCACTTTGGGGCTTTTTGCAAACAAAGTTCAGTGCCACAACACTGAAAACCCCACATTTTCACTCTGCAAGTCATCTTTAAAGACTAAGGCAAATAGTCCAGCCCTGTATTCCTGGCGCGGGTCTTAGCACACTGCTAAATGGCAGCACTACAGCTCCTGGCAAGTTCGGAGGCACGCCGTCATTTCAGGAAGCCAGTCTCACTGCACGGAGCAGGCTCGCAGGCACGAGCCCCTCAAAGACACCTTGAGGCATCTTTCCAACAGCATCAGCGCAGCCTGACTGTATTCCACTTTTTGTTAGCGCCCGGCAGGCAAAAGCAGTCTGTGGAGCTACTGCGGGGAAAGCCCACCAGCGCGGCCTCCAGCACCACGTGCAGGCAAGGTACCTTCTCTTACGTCCTCCCTCGACCGCCTTTGAATGCCCTCTGCCTGTAACGGCAGCTCTTCTACGGCCTCAGGACATTCCAGGTCTGGCTCCAAAACCTCACAGGGGCCTGCTGCCATATCACCTCCAGGACTCTCGCTGAACAGAGGGGCAAAAACAAACGCATCGTGGTCATTAGGGAGCACGGCCGACGCGGGGTAGCAAAGCTGTCCGTGACCAAGCAACGCGGGTGGCGCGCCTCGGTGAACCGGGCGTCACGCACGCGGGTAAACGCCTCGAGGATCAGCAAGCCTTGCCATACAGCCGCTGCCATGCCTTTCACCGGAGGATCTCGGCGGTCTCCTATCCCGCAAAACACGGTCTCAGCGCTCTGCTGCCCAGCGGGCCCATTTTACAGAGGAATAAACTGAGGCACAGAGCGGAGCAGCGCAGCTTTTGCCTCGAAGGAAGGGAAGCTGATGACGCAGCAGAAGCCTTTTGCTGGTCTCAGCTGCCCTGTGCTGAGTCATGGATTTGTCCTCCCCTGCTGGGCTGCGGCTGCTGTGCTCACTCTGCCTGAAGCCTCCTTTTCCAGGCGGTGGTAAGGGATGTGAGGACAGGACTTCATCCCTCCTGCAATTCCTTCCTCTGCAGCCACCCCCTGCCACGCACCGGCCACTCCTGCCCTCTCGGCAGGGACAGGACTGCTCTGCGGATACAGATCAGGGTCTACTTCTAAGCAGCTAAAACTAGAAGTTCTGCAGCAACCCGTGCTTGCTACTGGATGTCGTCCGGTCCACTTTTCTCATCCCGTACCTAATGAATAGGGGGCTGGGAGTTGGCACGTGTCTGCATGCCCACATACACGTGTGTGTATACCCCTTCCCTTCATTGTTTTAGGATCCCAACCGCCGAGCCAGGGACACCCATCGTGCAACTCAGCACAGTTTGGCCTCTGTAGAGCAAAGTAGCCTCGCTGGACAGTTTAGTGCAACAAAGCGGGCTGCATCAGCCAGCAGAAGAGAATTGACTTTGGGAAGAGGTCAGAGGCCTCAAGAAGTTTTCCGAAGTGGTAGCTAAGTTCCTGACAAGGTGGTGATGCCACAGGCCAGCTCCAGCATGCACAGCTCTGGGTCTGTGCTCCCGCCCCTCCTCCCGCCGCCTGCGAAAAACTCACCGAAGGAGGTCTCGAGGTCGGGCTTCCTGCTCACGGCCCTACCCGCTGCCCGTGTGTGTGCGCTACGTTGGCTGTATGTGCCTTAGCGCAGGGCCCTGCTTGTGAAGCACTTAGCGCAGGTGGACACGGAGCGCACGCATGCAGTCACCGCGCGGCTCTACCTCCCCGTCCGCAGCCACGTTTCAGAAACTAGCTCGGGTCCAAAGTGTGACTCCACCGCTGACACACATCAAAGAAGCTTCCAAAAATAGCCCCCTTCCATTCCCCATCAGCTCGTTCAAGGCAGCCGAACCACAGGCTTTATCTGTGCGCAGCCTTGTCACCCGCCAGCCCGCGAGCTTGCATTCAAATGCAGGCAAACGCTTTGTGCCCAGGGGCTTGGCTGCATTCAAAGAAAAGTGTTAAAAGCAACACAAAGTCATACCTAGGGCTTGAATGCAGCCGTCCAGCCTTCAGCCTCTTGTCCGGCTCAGTCCCTATAGAGTAATATACAGCAACAGGTGCTGGGTCCTGCCGGAGCAAAATATCAACCAATCATAGGAGGCTAAAGCGACCATCGCTTTAATATTCAGTCCCAGGAGATAGAAAAGGGTCTGACTTCACTCTGAAAGAGAGAGAAAAAATTAAACATGAGGCTCCTTTGCTCCCTTTCCCGACAGATCTGCTGTGCCCCTGCCTGCTGGCAGAGAGGAGGGGCCCATAGGTACCGAAGCTCTTCTATGCAGTAGCGACACGAACTCATCCCAGAGCCTGGCTTCCCCCCACTTCTTTACTCCACTTGCAAGTGGGAAGGATGCTGGAGTGCCTCGTGGAAAACAAAAGGCTGGAAAGACCTGGGCAGGAGCACGGGGGATGGAAAATATTTATTTCCCACTATTCCTTGCTTGCAGATGCTAAGAAATGGGTGAGATTTGAAACTTCAACCCAAAGGCCTCCACGTTAGTCATGCTGAGGCTAAGGGAGCTTCTTTGAGAGGATCATTGGATTGATATATACCTTGGCCTCTTAAGATCTCACTCCAGAGGTGCTGCTGCCCAGAGACAGCCTCACAGACATCGGTCTCTGGCCAAACAGTAGCAGCAGGAACTAGCTCTGTCCCATCTGCTTTCACCTCCCTCCTGTCTGAGGACTACCTCCTCCACCTCATTGTGATGACTACCAAGGGTTCAACTCGGTCCATTTAAATGCAAACCTTATCAGGCACGGGTGGTTCTCTTCCCTCTTTCAGATAAAAGAGACAAGCAAGGAAATTCAAGGCAGCGAGAGCATTCATGCAAAACTGAGGCTGTGAAGTTAAATTGCTGCTAGTGTTTTAAAAGGAGGTAAATGGATCAGGTAAGCTTCCTACAGTATCACCTCCCAGGTGGCACTGCATTTCGCGGGCAGGGTGCGGTGCAGGAAAGACCCTGGACCCTGCATCAAGCAGATGGGGCACTTTGAAGTTACACTTCCATGCCTGGAAACCTCAGGCAGCTGTAGCACCTTCTCTCTTGGCTCCTGGTGTGCTGCTAGGGGGGGGTTTGCCCAAGACACCTCTACGCTAGGGCAGCCTCTGTGCTGGAGTATGGCCAAGGAGCCTGTTGGCCCCACAGTAAAACGGACACAAGGGTGCGTCTACACAAGACACGTTAATACACTTTAGCCTAATTTCACATATATTACGGGCACGTGTCTACACATGCGCGCCCTTAATCCACATTCGCAGTGGTGAAATTAGGCTAATGGTACCTAAATTTGCAAATGCAGGTATCAAATTTAGGCGAGGTTAAAGTTCATTAATGCATGTGTAGACATGACTCGGCACTAACTTAGTCCCCAAGGGGCACATGGCAGGGCTGCAGGGACTTGGCACTAACTTTAGTGCCACGTCCCTGCACGTGTAGACACCTGCCAAAAATCACTTAATGCTCATTAGCTTAATGTGTGTTAAATTTAGTTGCACTTAAACGCACGTGTAGATGTGCCCAAGGTAAGTTAATGCTACTTTTATCCTTTGTCTCAGTTGTGCTGAGTGCTTTTTGGGGTCTGGGCCCCTCTCTAAAAGTAGAGGCCCTAATCTTGTAAAGCCTTCCTCACATGAGTAGTATCATGCAAACCAGGAGGACCACTCGCCTGTTCAAGGAGAGCTACAAACCCTTAATTGTGCTAGGAACATAAGCAATTCATTAACAAGAGAAACAGGAGGATGTGGTAATGCTAAGCTGAAGCATTCAAAAAAATCACGAGATCTTAAAAAACAAAGCCAAACATTTTGGATCCTTTTGTTGGGCTCCTGGTTTTTTCACCTTAGGGTTCAATACATTTTCAAACCTGTCTCCCCAACTGTGCAGATTCCAGACTTAGGCTTTTTTGTTATTTTTATTCAACAAAAGCTGAGATTTTCATATAAGTCACCAGACCCCAAGAAGTGGGACAGCAGTACTGCTAAAATACCGAGACTCCAGATACAAATCACTGGAGCTGAAGCACCAAGAACATATTGAAACTCGATGCAACGGACCCGTGTTAACATCGCAAACAGGGCCATCCGGGAAGCATAACTAACTAGAAAAGGTAACTTTTGCACTTGTGAGTATTTAAAAATTAAAACCCACAAAATCTCATGGTGCTTGTAGTAACATTTCTACATTTCCATGGCACCCGCCTGTGCTTTGACAAGCAGATGATGTATACCTTATTGCTAGACTAACAGGAGAAAAAACTGTTTATTAAAAAATTATTTCCAATAAAGCTACAAAGGGCAGCAAAGCTATTGCACAATACATTGTCTTTATTAACTGAGGTTCTTTTTTTCCCCACAATGCTCCAGTGTGAAAGCCTGGGTTTCAGTCGCTCTCTCTGCAATTGCTATTCCAGCCTACACGATAGAAAAATTATACTTTCCTTTGGGACTTCAGACAAAAAGTTCAACGGCTTATTGCTCAGCTGAAAACAGCATGAGTGCATGCAGGCCTCGCCACTGCTTTAAATGCTTTAAAACGGTTCAATCTGTTTCTTATTATCAGCATAAAAAACAGCGCGCAAAGCATTTTTTAAAGGATGCCATCATATTAGTTTAAGGTGACCTTCAAAAGAGTATGCTCCTTTTATTGCTGTTTTATGGTGTACTGAATGGTTTAGTTAGTTCAAGGGTTATAATCGTCCCAGGTTTTAATAAATGGGTCCAAGGGTATTAATTGGAAAGGAGAAGAAGGAAGCAAGCCAAGGAGCATGACTGGGGATCAGTGACAAGCCTGATTCAAGAGAAAGGATAAATGTCAGATCACGTTGGTAAAAGAATCAGCTCCGATCTAGGCTCCAATATAAGCAATCGGATTTTCACAAAAAGTTTGTAGTATGAGCCCTTTGGAAAACCTGGCTCTGACTGCAGGTCCCAAACACTTGAAAATACGGCCCCTGTCAACCTGCGGTTACCGTACAGCAATTCGGAAAAGACCAAGAAGTGACGGCATCTTCCTAATTATTGAGACAGTCATTGCAATACAAATAATACTTGATATTGCTCAAGGCTGAACCAGATCGTGGAAGGGAAGTTAGATGGAACTGATAAATCAAAGCCTGATTCTGTTAACTCTTGCTTCCCCCACCCCTTTGATGTCATTATTTCCACCCCAATAAGGTCACCACTGTTAATTAAAAAGACATGTTCGGTTTCTTGGATTTAGGGAGATGTTATGAAACCAGAACATCGTAAACCGTCTGAAACAAAGTTCCTCCTGCTTTCAGTTAATCATGATTCACTTGGTGCTCAGGATACTGTAATCCCATTCTTCCTTCAGCTGGCGATGGACTCGTCTAGGGAATATATAGCAAGACAAGACCTATCATGGTAAAATACAGAACTCCTTCTGCATGTTTGGTGTTCATCCTGGAGCAGGAAAATGTGACACAAACCTAGTTCTCCTCCTTTTCAGGGAATCTTTCACCATATTCCCTGCAGCGATGAGGGAGTGGGAGGGTGTTTTGCCTCCACGTGCTTAGCTTTGAAGAAGTTCCTTGCCAAACGACAGATGTGCCAATATTCCTTGTACAGTTTAATCCAGGCAGATGCAGGAAAGAGTTTCCCAGAGGCAAGTTCTTTCCTAATCCCTTGAAACTCCCCTGGATCCCAGTTTCTCTCCTGACCTGAATCTGGTAACGTGTCTCTGGGACGGGGCTAGCTCCGAGGGAGGGCAAGAGTCTCGGGGACATGATCCAGGGAGGGGAGGAGAGGAGCTGAGCTCCGGTGCAGAAAGCCCCGGCTGAACCTGACACTGGCGGTAACTGATCGGAGCGCTGGGCCGGTGCCAGGCCCTGCCCGGGCTGTGCCCAGCGCTCGTGCAGGGCTTGCTGGGCTCTCTTTGGTAGCAGGGATTGCTTTCCTGCACCTACCCGACCTGCCATTGTGATTTGCCTTTACCTGAGTATGTGTCTATCTGCCTACTGAGGCTCATTAATGCAGCCTGCTGGCTTTTTTTGAGGTGAAAAGATACCAGTGGATCTTTGTAGCCCCTAAATTTTGCAACAGCAGGTTTACTCTCCCATCAGGACTAACTTGTCCCATTCCTCCTTCCCATGCAAAAACCCAGTTGCTCCCAGTTGGAAGAGTTCATTCGTTGATTGTTATTTTCAATAATGATTCGTTTTAGAGATGTTTTCCCTCCCCCCACGCCGACCCATGTCCTTCCATGATCTTCAGGTAGCTCAGCTCTGTTCCCCGGGTTTCTGTTCCTTGGCGATCAGGCAACCAAAATGTCACAGAAGGGAAGCTCAGTATCTCATCTCCCTGGCTCATCAAGTTACTGTTCGGTAGACCACGTGTCCTAGCTCATCAACCTATGCTGGAGATCGGCAGGCAGCTACTGAGAGGTTCTGGCAGGGGCAGGCAGACCACAAACAAAGGGTGAATTCTGGTGCAAAAACGAGGGATTTCATGGCCTCTTGGGAAAAGGCCATATTCTGTGGTTGCAGAACTGAAGAATTCCCAGAGCCACAACTGAGATGAGTGGGACAAGTGGCGCCTCTCAGAGCTACTGTTTCAGGCTGCCCGCAGATTCAAATGTGCGACACAGCATCAGCTGCATTCGGTTTGCACTTCCTACATTACCTCCACAGTCATGAGGCCCACACACTTGTTTTTTCAATGGAAGTGGATACTCAGGAGTATAATGGTATAGTAAACTCCACAGGTCCAGACTCATGACCTGGCCACCAGAGCCATCCTGGAAGCTGTTGCTAAGGAGATTATCTCAGGTAGGCCAACTTGACCTTTGATCTTTGCAAAGCTCACAAGCATCTGCTCAATCTACGTTAGAGGGGAGACTTTCAAGGAAAAGCTGGGTGCTGGAGAAAGTGACGGGATGATGAAAGGCACTGCTAACTGTGGAACGAAACCTATCTTTTACATAAAGAGAAGCCTGTAGGTCACTAAACCACGTCCTTCATTGGTAGGGGTTAAAAAGAGCGATTTTAGACAGCTTCAGCATTCTTGTGTGGGGCTAGTGACTAATCCCTGAATGCAAACAGAGCTACAATGAAGAGTGAACTGTCTAAAGTACTTATCTCATCCTCATTACCATAGTCTCCAGTGCCTCCCAGTCTCTGAAGACCACCCTTGTCTAACAC